AAGTGAAAAGGTAGTAGCCAATTTCACTGAACCCAGAAAGAATCGATCGATCCCCTCTTTGATAGGATTGATCGGATATTCAACCAGTAGCCAAAATAACTTAGAAAGGCACAAAATCAATCGATCCCCTTCAAACCTAATCGATCGGTTCTATGCAAAAGCCCAAAATCGATTGATCCCTCACTTCACTCGATAAATCGATTCGTGAATTTTAGACGTGATAAATTTAGATCCTCACTTGTTTGGCCGACCCTTTCACCTTTTCTTTCCTATTCATCTTTTTCCCCAACTCTTTCTCTCTATACCCTAGATATTTATACTAAAATGACTTTGTGGCACAAGTCTGGCATCTTCGAGCTGATATTGAGCATATGAGGTCTACTCTTTAACATATGAGACAGTCTTCGTATTACTCTTCTCTTCTGCCTCCATTTTTTCATTCTTCACCTTCACCTTCACCTTCACCTCACTAAAGCCTTCTTACTGCTATATCTTATGTTTCCCATAGTTTTTGTAAATATAACTTTGCATTATGGCTTGTAGACTTTGATCTTTTTATTAATGCAACTCATCTTTTATTCTCTTGTGGCTTGTGGCATTGTTATGTAGTTTCATGTTTGAAGTGACCTTGGGTGGCCTTGAATTGCTTATTCGCTCGTTTTGATTTGCTTCATTTAGTATTTTTGCTATGACAAAAAATGAGAGAAACAATGGTATGAAAATTTGATGATGTATGAAAATCAGATGATGTTTTGATATTGATAATGATGTTTTAATATTGATGAATATATTGATGGTTATGGTGATATTACTCTTGTCTAGTTGCCTTAAATCTTATGCCTAAATTCAAGGGGAGTTTGCCTTTCATAAGTATAGGGGGAGCTTTTTTTCAAAAGAAAAAATGTTTTTCATGCAAATTTTTCATTTGGTTTTGTTATATAAAAAAAAGAGGAGATTGTTGGCCTTGAATTGATTAAGAATTTTGATTTGACAAAATAAAAATTTGCCAAACTTGTTTCAATCTTGTCTAAGCTTAAATTGAACATTTTTCCACCCTTCTATCTTGCCAAAATTCATTTAAAAACTAAAACAATTCAAATTCTTAGAACAAACCATGATTTATGCAAGTTTTGATAGAAGGGATCGATTCTTTCTATTACTAGATCGATCTTCTAGCAAAAGAGATCGATTCTGTTTTCAACCAGAATCGAAAGTTCTCAAGATTTGACAAAAATTGATCGATCCCCTCCCTATAGGGATTGATTGGTTAGCAAAACGGATCGATCCCCTCATTTAAAGGATCGATCACTTTTTCATACAAAATGCTTTTCTCATGTAATTTTTCAGAAAAAGATCGATCCCCTCACATAGAGGATCGATCACCTAAGGCAAGGGATCAATCCCCTCTTAAAGGGATCGATTGGTTGTTCAAACAGAATGTCCCATAAGTGTGAAAACTCAGAAAAGGGATCGATCCCCCCACATAGGGGATCGATCACCTAAAAGAACAGATCGATCCCCTCAAGCAAGGGATCGATCGGCTAAGGCAAAATAGGCTTAAAATCGGGCTTTCTCAAACATGAACCAATCGATCCTCTAAGGGAGGGGATCGATCCCCTGAAGGCCTGAAACTCCCAACGGCTATTTTTTGTACAAAATTTTTACAGGTTTGAAGCATTAAATGCAATCCAACGGCTCTTAACTTTTTTCTAACTATAAATCAAGTATTCTACTGTAGATCAAGAGAAACAAGAGCTAAAGAAACTTATTGCTATTCACCTATCAATTTGCTCAAACATTCAAAGCTATAAAAAGAGAAAAAATACAGAATTCATATCAGTTTTTTTTATTTTTTTATTTATACATTTGTGTACTTCAACTTAGCAAATACCTAGCCTTTGTGAGGTTTTTAAAGTTTGTCAAACACTTCTGAATTTTCTGTACTGTGTGTGTGTAAGCTTAAGAGGGAGGATAACCCTTAAGAGTGTATGTTGTTGAGTTTGTAAAACTTTGTGAAAGCTTAGTTGTAATCTTCATCAAATAGTGGATTGAACTCCTTAGCAAGAGAGGTTAAAGGAGAGGACATAGGTGCTTAAGAAAGGACCAAACCTCTATAAATCTTGGTGTTAAATTCTCTAACCCTATCTCTTGTTTATATTCATCTACTGTGCTTATCTATTTTGATAATTTGTGGTTATTGAATATTATCTTTGAAAATTTTATTAAAACCAATTCACCCCCCTCTTGGTTTATTTCAAGTCTTTGAGCTAACATAACTGATTCTCAAATCCAAACTGTTTTGCAAACCCTAAAATTATTTTTTAAATAAATGTTAATTAATTTTAAGATTTTATTAAAATGATAAATTTTAATAGATGACCAATCACACATAACCAAAAAAGATTGGTGATGCTTCCTATTATTTTTAAATTCATCTAACGGCTTTAAAATTATTATAACATACAAGGATGAGCCATAAAATTTGAAAAAGTTGACATGAAAAAAATGCTTACATGGCAAAAAAATATAATGCGACAAACTTTCATCATTTTTTTCCATGTGAAGAAAAAAATTTTGACATGTCAGTAAAGACAACGATCATTTAAGCAAAAAGTTAAAATGCCACATCATTAATTTAAACGAAAAGGGTTAAATATATATTTAACCCTTAAACTTTATAATTTTTGTCACATTGGTACCTAAAATTTTTTTGTCACATTGATACTTGAACTTTCAAATCATTATCATATTGAAACTTTTGACTAACGTTATTAGTCATTTTGTTGACATAGCATGAATATCCAATATGATGCTGACACGTGTCTAAAGTCAAGTCATTGTTACATCATTAATACCACATCATGCACAAATTATATTTAAAAGAAAATTTCAGAAAAAATTTAATAAAAAATTCTATAAAATCTAAAAAATTCTAAAAATTTTAAACATTTTTAAAAAGATTTTAAAATTTTTTAAAAATTATAAAAATTTTTAAAAAATATTTAAAAAATTTTCAAAAAATATTGAAAAATTTATAAAAGAAATTTTAAAATTTTTTTAAAAATTTAAAAAATTTCAAAAATATTTTTAAAAATTCAAAAAATTTTAAAAACTTATAAAAATTCAAAACAATTCTAAATTTTTTTAAAAAAAATTCTATAAAAAATTCAAATTATTTAAAATTTTTTAAATTTATAAAAAATTTTAATTTAAAAAATTATTAAAAATACAAAAAAATTTAACTTTTTAAGATATTTTTTAGCATGCAAAATTGTTTTAAAATTTCTCAAAAAATTTTAAAAAATCTAAACAATTCTAAAAAATTAAAAATATGAAATATTTTTATAAATTATAAAAATTTTAAAAATTCTAAATTTTTTTAAAAAATAAAAAAGTCAAAAAATTTTAATTTATAAAAATTAAATTTTCTTAAAGTTTAAAAAAATACAAAAACTTAACAAAACTGAAAATAAGAAAAAATATAAAAAGTTTAAAAGTTTTAAAAAATTAAGAAATTAAGAAATTTCAAAATTTTGAAACATTCTTTAAAATTTAAAAAATCTAAAAAAAAATTCTTTTATTTTTTTTTTAAATTTGGAAATTTTTTGAAAATTTTTAAGTTTCCTTAATTCTTTAAGAATTTTTTAAAATTTTTCAAAAATTTTCAAAATTTTTATAATTTTTAATACGTTTTTTAAATTTTTAGAAATTTTTAGAAATTTTTTATATTTTATTTTTAAAAAAATTTAAAAGTTTTTTGAATTTTTTTAAAATTTTTTTGAATTTTTTATTTTTGAATTTTTTTTAATTTTCTAATTTTTTTTTTGAAATTATTTAGAATTTTTAAAAATGCTCATAGTTTTTTTTTTTTTTTGAAATTTTTATAATTTTTTAGTTTATTTCAAATTTTTATAATTTTCAAAAAAAATTTAAAAAATTATTTTAGAATTTTTCAAAATGTGTTAGAATTTCTTAAATTTGTTTTTAATTTTAAAAGTTTTTTTGGACTTTTGAAATATTTTGAAATTTTTTATAATTTTTAAAATTTGTTTAGATTTTTTAAAAACTTTTTAAGAATTTTTTTAGAATTTTTTTTGAAATTTTTTTTTTTAAATTAGGTGGGCATAACGTAGCATGATGTGAGAATGATGATGTAGCGTTGATTGAACTTTTAATACGTATTAGTATCTTATTGGATGTTTATGCTACATCAATAAATTAATTAATGACATTAGTAAAAAGTAGTAATGTGATAACAATTTAATAGTTTAGGTATAAATGTGACAGAAAAATTTTTTAGGTACCAATATTACCAAAATTACAAAGTTTAGAGATCAAATATGTATTTAATTTAAATGAAAAAAATTTGAATCATTAACAATTTGATTAAATTTAACAATTAATTAATGTATAAAGATTTAATTTGAACATATTAGAATAAATAGACTAATTTTACTATTTTATTAAAATACATGAATGTGTTGTACTATTTAACCTATTATTACAAACAAAAAAAATTTTCATCGTGGACGAAATACTTGTAACGACTTTAAACTTTTTAATGAAAATTTATTGAAAAAAATTTCGTTGATAATGTAATTTAGGGACAGAATAAAAGTTAATTTTCTTACAGTAGTAAGAATTTTTTAGAATTGTTGGGAAACTTTGATATCTTTTTTGGGAAGATAGACTGGTTTAAATAGTTGACTTTCTCGGAGTTTGTTGACTTGCCATTGCACCGACACAAGTTTATTACTTATTCTCTCTCTCAATTAAGCTTCATGTAATTAGAATTAGAGCAGAAACCTCACTACTTTTAACATGATCAAAAGAGTCAAGTCCATATCGGATTCATATGTCATATTCATAACAACACTACCACACCATTAACAATTACATGAAACCTGCATCAGTATAAGTTCTTATTTGGTAACAAATTTCAAACCAGAATTACATTAAACATTAAACTCACCAAACTTGCACATTCCTATACCACTATCTTCTCTCATCATTCTATCTAAAATTTGCTGGTTTATCAACATAAACAAGAAGGACAAGTAAAAAGACATATCTTGTACATAGTTGATAAAATTAGAACATCAGATACCATGGAACTACGGAAGAATTCAATTTGCTAAATGAAGAGAGGTGATGGAAATTCTAAACTTGGATGGACATCTTTGACGAATTCAACGGCTTTTTCCATAACCTGACATTGTGAAGCAAGAATAAAATTAATCCACCAAAATTAAAAAACTCTATTTTGTGCATATTCTATGGAAAATTTATAATTAAAAATTATTAAAGTACCTTGAAAAGGATACAAAATATCTACTTCAACAATTCTTACCTTGAATCTGCAAGAAAATTATAAAGTTTTAAAGAAATCAGTCTTTTAGGAAAGTTTTATAAACGATATATCAATAACAATAAACAAATTAATTACTTACCACGTTTAGATACTCTAATTTGATTCTCTTAAGTATAAAACCAACATCCTTCATATCTTTCCTTTCTTCAGGTAACTCAGCTGAACATTTTAAAGCTAACCTCATTATAGATGATATACAATTAGCTTTAGCCGTAAAATGTTCTTCCTCATTTCCCAACAAGCTAGAATCCGCAGCAGCAATTGTTCCATTAGATAGTGATTCTTCCACCCAATTCTTCATATTTATTTCTTCAACAAAAATTTCATTTGTGGGCTTCTTTCTTGTGAAAATTTCCATTAATAAGATACCATAGCTATATACATCACTTTTTGTAGAAATAATTCCTGCAGATCCATATTCTGCGCATTTTTAAAACATAATGGAATCATTAAACTGATGTCACATGACTTTTTTTTATAAAGGCAAAGTGGTATGTTGAGTAAGAAAAGAAGATAAAAAAACTTGCAGAGACAAAACTAAAACTTAGAGTATTAATTAGAAGCAAAATTAGAAACAAGATATCATAATGTCATTAATCATAAATAAGATGAACGCTGAGGCATACATACACCTAGCAATAAAATTGAATAGGGGAATGAAATTATCACCTGGTGCCATATATCCAATAGTGGCCAGTGTCACGGTTTGTTTCATGGAATTTGCCTCTCCCAACAGTTTGGCAATGCCAAAATCTCCCACATGTGCAACCATATCTCCATCTAGTAGGATATTACTTGGTTTTAGGTCACAATGGATTATAGGATTTGGATGTCCCAAATGGAGGTATTCTAATGCTGATGCAACATCTATCATTATGTTGATCCTTTGTAGTATATCCAAGAAATAATGGCCAGAATATAACCATTTTTCAAGGCTTCCGTTAGGCATGAATTCAAGCACTAATGCTTTGAAATCCATACAAGAGCAATAACTAATGATCTTGACAAGATTGCGATGAAGTATATTTTGCATAACTTCAAATTCAGCATTAAAACTCTTAAATCCTCCTTCTACCTGCAAGTTAAAAACTTTTATTGCAACAGCCGTCCCATCTGACAGTGTTCCTTTGTATACCGAGCCAAAGCTTCCAGAACCAAGCAAGTTGGCATCACTAAATCTATTAGTCGCTTCTATAAGTCTATTGTGCAAATTTGCTGTCAATATTTCCATAGTTGATAAATTTCCTTCAATTGACAGATTTGTGCTCCTTTTCCTGCACCTTTTTAAGACAAAGATGAAAGCAACTATCCATATTATGGAAGCAATTGTTACTATACCATATGTCATAACATGAACAATGTGGGTCTTGAATAGTCCATGGCTGGAATTTTTGCAAGGAGGGACTTGTAATTTAGGTGAGCCACAAAGTGCATAATTCTTCATAAATGATTTAGCTGTGAAGTTTCTAAAGCATCCTTGAGTGGGAATCTCTCCTTCTAATATGTTGAAAGCCACATTAAAGTACTTGAGATAGGTCAGTCTTTCCAAAGACTTAGGAATTATCCCAGAGAAATTGTTATCAGATAAATCTAAGGTTTCCAAACTTGTCAAGTCACCCAATGATGTAGGAATCGAACCTTGTAATCTATTACTAGACACGGACAAAGTTTGTAAATCATTTAGACCTCCAATTGTGGCTGGAATATCACTTGAAAATAGATTCCTTGACAAATTCAAATATGTTAGTACTCTCAGATTTCCAATATCCCTTGGAATTGAACCATTCAAATAATTTGATGACAAGTCTACCTTCAAAATATAATTAAGGCTCCAAAAGGTGAAGGGTATTGTCGAATACAACTTGTTGGATGACAAATTTAGAGTCCTTAAAGAAGTCAAAATACCCAAACATGTAGGTATTGATCCTTGAAGCATATTACCACTCAATGATAAATAGCTCAGTTTCTTCAAATGACAAATATTGTATGGAATGGAGCCTTGTAACTTATTATCATCAAGAAACAAACCTTGCACTTTTTGGAGCATTCCTATTGTAGCTGGAATAGACCCATTTAATTCATTTCGAAAAAGCTCCACAGCTATAATGTTGCTTAGGCTACCAATTTCCGTTGGAATGGCGCCTTTGATTTTGCAATCATGAGCACGCAAAGTTTCCAGTGATGCTGAGAGATTAGAGATAGAAGCTGGAAGGGTGACATTCAATGGATTCGATGCTATGTCCAAAACTCTTAGATTCTTACAATTTCCCAAGGAAGAAAGAAAGCTCGACATATGACTCGAAGTTTCTATGGTCAATTGGTTCATCGAAAAGCACAACACCTCAAGGAATTTTAGATTGCCAAAGGAAAGTGGAATATGGCCAGAGAAAGAGTTTTCATTCAAAGTTACAACTCTGAGTCTAGAAGCATTAGAGATGGAGTCGGGAATATTTCCACTCAGATTATTATTCCTTAGGTAAAGCCCTTCAAGATTTGAAACCAATCCCATGTTTGGTAATTTACCTGAAAAGAATGCATGTTTTAATTATAAATTAATATTTGATACACTATGTGATTGCATGATTTAGTGATCATATATAATATTTATACACTAATATTATATCAAATAAAAATTCATATAAAAAATAATTTTTTTAAATGCATATGAGATAGGTTCCAAGCCTAATACATAGGAAGGTGAACTACTAATATTTTCTTATTTTTAAATTAGTATTTAATTAAATTTTATGGTTTTATATTAGTTCAAAGTTAATTAAGTCTCTAACTCAACAATTCACATTATATGTATAAGTATAGATTCCATTTTTTTAATTTTTCATCTCTTATAAATAGCTTCACAATAAATTTTGTCCTTTTTTATAACATTCCCATTGAAATTGTAACTTTTTTATTTCTTTGTTTATGAAATTCATCTAAACAGTCAACGTTATTATAATTTTCACAAACAAAAATGCCCTTTTTTAATATATGCGATTATAAAAAATTAAATTTTGATCATTAAAATTAAGAATTTGATTAGCACTTTATCAATAGTGTATACGATGTTCATAGTCTATATAGTAATTATACGTATTCATTTTATACTTCTAAATTAAAACAAATAAAAAAGATGTTTTACGAGGAGCTTACCGGATAGAAAATTGTTATTGAGAGAAATTTGTTTTAATGAAGAGATGTTGAAGATAGATGGTGGAATCGGTCCACTTAGGCTCATATTTTTTGCATAAAATACCTCCAGTTCTATAAGATTCCCAATCTCCCATGGGATTTCACCTGCAAAAATGATAATTGCAAAAACAAAATTTGAACTAAAAAGAGGGAACAAAAAAAAAATCAAATGAAATAATTATAAAAGTGGAGAAAGAAAGAAAAAATCGTAAGTAATATATATAGCTTACCTTTTAAAAAATTTCCACTCAAATACACATTTTTGAGCTTGGTTAAATTTCCGATGCTTCTAGGAATGAGCCCATTGAGTTGATTAAGAGACAATAACAGAGTTTGAAGATTTGTGCATTCTCCTATATTTGAAGGAATGTAGCCAGAAAATTTGTTGTTGGATATGTCAAACACTTGAAGTTGGTGAAGATGGTAACACATATCATCTGGAATATTACCAGATAAATTATTATTGGACAAATAAATTTCCTTCAAAGATGAAATTTTGAACATGGAAGCTGGGATTGGACCAACTAGACTCATATTTTCTGCAGCAAATATCTCCAATGCATTAAGATTACCGATTTCTCGAGGGATTTCACCTATAAACACCATTAAAACAAAGTTTTAATGCCTTTTGTATCATAATTTAAAAATAATAATAATGATAATAAACATTGAACATTTCACCTATAAATTTTTTTTTTTTTTGGAATGGATGAAAGTAAAATATCTTTTAAAACTTTCCAGGTCCAAAAAATAAATTTTAAAGATGCGCACATGAAAATAAAGTATTAAACAAAATTCATAGATGATTGATACATTTAACTAAGCCAATTGTGTATACCAAATTTATCTTGAAAGTAGAAAGTTTTTTAGTAATAATAAGAATTAAAATAATATCACCTAATAGGAGTTTTAGTCGATAATAAAAATATTAAGTAGAAAATAATACTAGCTGACAAGATTTAAATTCTAATTATTAGAACGAAGTACTTAACACAATATTAATTGACCCCCCAATTGTTGGCAACATTAAAAATAAAGCAATTATTTCCAAAGATCAGCTTAGAGGATGAAAAACAATATATTGAGAGAGAGGAATCAACTTACACCTAAAATTAAAACGTTATATTTTTTTTAATTATTAATTTCAATAAATCTAAAAAATAAGAAAGATAAATAAAAAAGAGAACAAAAAATTATTTAATTTCATCTCTTTGATCTATTAAAATTAATAGTTAAAAAAAGTAATGTAAATTTTTTTTGTATAAATTGGTTCCTCTCTTATATATAGAGGAAAATATCAATTTATATCAGTGTAACCAAAAAGTTTTACACTTTTTTTAATCATTATAGATCAAAGGGTTAAGTGAAAAAGAGAAAAAAAATGGGTTAATCTTATCTCTTACATCCATCAAAATCAATGATTTAAAAAATGTAAATTTTTTTTTTGTAAAAGTTAATCCTTTCTATATATATGTAGCATCGTACCTTGGAAACTATTTCCACCCAGTTGTATTTCTTCAAGTGTAGTTAAACTTTCAAACCATGAAGGAATCTCCCCACTAAAAGCATTGCAACTCAAATCAATGAGTTTCAAGCGCCGCAACTTGGCCAACTCATTGGGTAGATTGCCATGGAAATTGTTGCCAGTCAAGTTAAGTGAGACCAGGAACGACAGATTTCCTAGGTGTGGAACAAGACTTCCCCCAAGACCCAGGCCTGAAAGATCCAAGACAGTGACTCTTCCATGGCGGGCACTGCAAGAAATGCCAACCCAATGGCAGACTGTGCTAGAAGTGGTCCAATTACTAGCCAAAACATTGTGATGATCAACGATTTGGCCTTTGAATTCGAGAAGTGTGGACTGATCTGTGGTGAGATTAGTCACAGTCATACTAATAGCAAAGCCAACCATAAAACATTTTATGACAAAGATTGAAAGAAACTGGACGTTGATGTTGTCCATGAGTGAAAGCAAAGAGCAGGAGAAATGAAAAGAAACTTGAATCGATGGAATCAATGATTGAAAAAACCTTGATTGAGCATTGCTTAAATAATTATTGAGTTCAACTTTTACAGATTTCAGGGACCACTCAAGATTATTGAATAGACTAACAGTCTTCCACTTTTCTGACTAACAAATAATGTTAAAGGTATAGTCAGTCAAGCCTATAACACACTTTGTTCTGGCAAATAACGCGGTTGTTAAAGGTGAAGATGCAAAGTTTAACGTGATTCCCACCCTAGCATGCATCCTGCAGCTATACAGTTTAAATTCATGGCTTTTGTAATCCCTTTTTCTACTTTTATTGGCGATAACATTGGGTCGGGCAGGACGAAATTTTGTCCGCTCCAACTCAGACCTAACATTTTAAAAATCATATCTGATTCGGACTCAACGTAAATTATTTATTTTTCAGACTCAATTTTGATCTGATTATAATTCATATCTGATTTGAAATTAATTTAATGAGTTTAATTTATAATTATATTCCTAAAATATTATTTTTAATATAAATTATATCTTTATTATATATAAATATAATATTTTTATTAAATTAATATTTTAAATTAAAATATTAAAAATAATTTTATTAATATATATTATTTATAAAATTAAAGAACTAATATTATATATATATATAAGGAGAATCGAGGTAAAATATCCTAAAACTTGCTACTAACCAAATTTTATTAAAAAAAATATCGTTTCACTTTTGACTTAAAAAAAAAATATATCAAATTGAGATAAATCAAAATTCGATGAATATAAATTATTTTATTATTCATAATTTTTAAAGCATAAATTTTTTTATTAAAAAAAAAGTTTAACGTGATTCGTACAAAAGATTCGGAGATGCTTTTTCTTCTATAAAACAAAAAACGGATTAAAAAAATAAGTCAAGAAAGACTTATTAGTAATATTGAGTCAAGAATCACAGGTCTTCGATTTTTTTTTGTACCGACCACGTTATTGCTTTTAGCAAAGTTATTTGGCTCAACTTTGATCAGATTCCTTTTTTTTTTCTTCTATCGAATCCTTTCATATTACTTTTAAATATACATGCTTCTGAATTACATGTTTGCACAATGTTTTGTGATCCTTAGCTCTCTTCTCAAAATTCAAATATAAAATTTAAAATAAAAAATTTGAATTATAACCATTAAGATTTAGTCTTCTAAATGAAACGTTTTACAATATTTGTTTGACCTATCAAGAATTGTTAAAACATAGGTAGAATTTTATCAATTACATTGCATTAGTCATAGCTATCAGAAATTGTATGAAATGATTATTTCATGTTGACATATATTTTTTTCATTCAAACCATATAATTACATTATAAAAAAAGTTCACAATTCACTACACATAACATGTGATAATTAAATGTGAATATTTATTTTAATAAATTTATTAATTATTTTATAATAAATCATTAACTTTTTTAAATAACATGATTATGTGAATATTATATATATATATATATATTAACGTGGAGTAATGGTTTAATACAATGTTTCTTTTTATCTTTAGGGTTGCAGGTGTAGTTTAGTAATAAATCTTTAGTACCAAATGAATCCAATTTTAACTTTATAATTATCTCTCAAATTCATGCATATTTTTTTGTCAAAAATAATATTTATATAGAGAATAAAATAAATTAATTTAAAGGAGTTAAAAAGATAAAGAATAATTATTTTTCTTCTCTCCTAGGGTCCCCTGGATCTCGCTGGTGTCCCTTACATCATTATTTTTCTCCTGTGGGGTTCTGTCTTGCCGTTATCTTTTCGTCTCCTGCTTCTTCTTCTTTTTTTTTTTTTCACTTTTTCTTGTCTGACACTTTTGATAAGTGTTGCGTACGTCAATCCTTTTTAATTTACCATATATCAACGGCCGATGATTTGGAGGAGCTGTGGCCCAAACTAGCATTGATTGAAGAGGACCAGAATAAAGTAGTCATCCAAAAGGAATGGTAGGAAGCAACGTTGGTGAAGGGAAGAAATTGTCTTGTGGAACAAGCATTGACCAAGAAGGTCGTAAACGTTGAAGTTACGAACACGTTTTCTCTAAAATCTATAGACTCTTAAAAGGGAATTGTTGGAGTATGGTCTAAAGACTAATTAGATTTTTTAAAAATACTCATGCTATATTAGAGATTTTATATCTGAGAATTATGTTTAAAATTTCAATTATATTATTAATGTTTAATGATAAATTTCTTACATTAAACAAATTTTACAAGTGACTTACAAATAATTATAATTATGAGATCATTATTACAATAAAATTATATATTTTAAATATTTTAATTAATGCTTTGCTATGAAAGGATGTCTATAAAAGTTGTTGAGATTGACATGTATTTATATATTTATTTATGAATGTAGGCATCGAATTTTGTTTATGTTTATTCGATAAAATCTTATTTTTAGTTCTTATTTATTAATATTAAAATTATTAAATAATTATAATGGTAAATAATCATAATAGTAATATTAATAATAATATTAATAAAATAAGAATAAAACAAAAAAATAGAAATAATAAAGACGTATTTACTGAAAGACTGAGTTTTTAGCTTTATATATCTTGTTAAAAAGACGTCATTTTGGCATCAGTAAATCCAGAGGATCTGCGCGTTTCTGTTTGAACTGACTCGACCCGAGCACTAACCCTTTTTGACCCGAGTGCTAGTCGACCGCCTGGACCTGAGCCACTTCTAGTCGAGCCATACATTCGAGCCGTTTTTCTTCCTGGAGCCGAACCGATTCCAACTGCTGAGCCGAGCCACATTAAGGTTTATTTATTTATTTATTTATTTATTAAATTAAAATTATTTGGTATTCCTTAATTTATTTTATTTTATTTTATTTTTTTCTTAAATGATTTTCCTAAAATAAAATTTTCAAAAAAATATTTTTGAGAAAAAGTTAAAAATATCAATTTTTCTTGAAAATATATTTTTAAGGGAAAGTTGAAAGTATCAATTTTTTTTAAAATAAAAAAGGTTTAAAAAATATATATTTTTAAGGAAAAGTTGAAAGTATTAATTTTTCTTTAAAATAAAGTTTTTAAAATAAAAAATTTTCAAAAATATTTTGGGGGAAAAAGTTAAAAGTATCAATTTTTTAGGAAATAAAAAGTTTTAAAAAATATTTTTAGAAAAAAGCTAAAGGTATCAATTTTTCTTAAAAATAAAATTTTTAAAATAAAAATTTCCAATTGCTTTAAAGAAAAATTGAAAGTATCAATTTTTTTTGTATAAAAGCAATAAATTTTTTTAAAATGAAAAGAAAAATATTTATATTAAAAGGTGAATCATTATTTTTTTATTATTTTATTTTATTTCTTTTATTTTTTCTTTTTTGTAATTTTTTTAATGTTAAATAATCCAACGATGGAGTCTCTGTAAGTGAAACAATAGTTTTTTTACATACTCTTGAGGTGGGGGAATTTTTTTTAATTTTTTATCAAAAGTATTGGAGTCAATTAAGAATAATTTTCAATAATTAATTACTTTGTAAATTTTTTAGGCTTAATGGTAACACGAAATCAAGTTGATACCATCATTCGATGGGCGTTGTGAAGGTGCTATAACATTCCTCACTTGTAACCGAACTTTCAAACCCCGTTCTGATTGATAGACCCAAACTTATTCTTTTAGGAACCCTTAGTTAAGCTTAGGTGTTTCATGAAAGGATAGATTCCTTAGGTGGTCAATCGCACCTAAACAAAAAAGATTGGTGACGATTCCTAAAGTCAATGTCTAGCGATAAATTCACAGATCTAGACGTTATGACAATAATAATAATAATATAACATGATTATAAAATTAATTACTAATAAAAGAAAAAAAGTTTTCCTACCTAGATGTTAAAGGGAATACAATCATACTTTAAATAATTTCGTCTAGATATTGAAGAATTATTGGAAAAAAATAAAAATTAAATAAATTAATATTAACTTTTCATAAAAAATTTTATTTTTTTTAAATCATAAAAATTGAACTTGTTCCAAAAGTCCTCATAGATGTTGAAATTTTTTAAATATGTTCACGTTTTTTTAAAATTAAAAAATCTAAACCTCGAAATTGAAACCCTAAATCCTTCAAACCCTAAAACTAAATCCTAAAACCTTTAAACTCCAAAATTGAAACCTTAAAACTAAAACCCTAAAATCGAAACCCAAAATCCAAAACCCCAAACCCTAAAATTCAAAACCTTAAAATTCAAATTTTTAAAAATCCTAATTTAGCACACAATCCCGAATCATCACCCAAAAAAACCATGCAAGCCTTAAAACCCTAACCTAAACCTATACTCAAAACCATTTCGAAACTCTAAGGATATGTGTGAAAATCTCAAATAGAGTAATTTGTTCCCGAATGCCACCTAAATGATGGAGTATTTAGAAAATTTTATTCCATTAAGTTTTTCAAACGGGTCCTTAATTCGCTTTAACAATATGGTTAATAACTAATTAATAATAAAAGTATATTAAAAAAATGAGATTTTAAATATAAATAGTCATACCTAAACTCTGCCTAGATGTTGGAGAGTCAATATGGTCTCATTATACTTAAAAATTCATTTTTAAATTGCATTTCATCATCTTGCGTAATATTGGCGTCATGATATTATTGTTGGTACTCATTTTGTATTTCTTTATCTTTAATTTTTGTTCGTTACCTGATAATGCCATTGTTTAATTTCTTATATAAAATGTTTTACAAAATAAAAAAAAATATTTTAAAATTGTGATATAATAGAATAAAACAAAAATAACAATCCAAAAAAAATAATTCTTGGTACTCTGCCTAAATGTTGGAGAGTCACCAACAATTATCTTCTACAAAAAGTGTTATTTTTATTTTAAGGAGTATTCTGTTAAATCTTAAGCAAAAAGAGTTATTTTAAATTCTGTCTAAATGTTGAAAAATTTTAAGATAATTCTTTAACTTAAAAATTTTCTCAATATTCCTAAATAAAGAGTTTTAACAAAAATTTATTTTTAAATAAAGGGGATTATTATTAAATTTCAAATCAAAATAATTTCATCGAATACCGAGAATAGCGCATGA